AAATTCTTACTCTTAGTACAGTGCTTTGCGTATCATATGTGGGAACTCTACGTATTGAATGAATAGAATGCGTTTTTCATTGACCTTTGTATATCTCTTCTGCTTCTTTCAAATAATTATTGTCATGCTAATTGCATCATTCCAAAAGTTCCTTCAGGATAGAAATTATGTCTTACTACTGTCCGCAGTCCTCAAAATTTAAGAGTTCATTAACCTATGCAATTTCCAAAACTAATGTATACAAAGACAAAAAAGCAACCAAGGTCTTATTAACACATGAATTTAAAGCTTAGGAACCTGAAAAGCTTAAAAAGCTTCTACAGAATACAAATTTCCTAGTTTGTCTATTTTATGTTTGCTGTTATTCAACTATGATTAATATTTAAGATATTAAAAATAGATAATTTTCAGCAGCCCCAGCAGCTCCTCTGTTTGGTGGATATCTGAAAATTAAAATGAATCACTTTATTATTTTTATCAATTATAACACTTAAGCCAAGAACTATTAAAGCTTGTGTTCCTGACTATATGACATCCCAATATGCTCCTCTCTGAAATCCACCCACTGAGTCTGAAGAAAAATGATGATCTATCAGTAATAATTTTCTTCTATAGCACAGAAAAATACTATGGGCCTGAATACCCTTTTGTTTTATTTCTGCAGAAGATCAATTTCCTCAGGAAAAAATGAGCATTTCAGTGATTTGTCAGCTTTGGATTCAATAAACAGATTTCAGTGCTTCACCCTCATGAATAATTTCAACTTCTATTTATTTGATCAGCAGAGAAATAATTTAAAATATGTTTCCCTCTTAACTTCACTAATATCCAAAATTACTAAATTGTAATAAATCGCTCACAGGAGAGAAATATCTCTTTTGAAATTTTTTCAACAAAATCATTATGTATTTGTTTACTAATATTCTAAATAAGTATTTTTAATATAAATTAAAAGTGTGATATATAGAAAAGCAAGTAATTATGTGAAAATATGCTAGACTATCAATACTGTGAGTGCTGCAGTGCTTGACCTTCTATAAATCATAAACACATAATTTCATTGAATTCAGAATTGGTTTTCATATATTTACTATTAATCATTTTGAGGTTAAGCTATTGCTTTTTGAATGTGCAAAGTAGACATCAAACTAGAGAAGAGACAACAATTAAGAAATCATTAAATGCTAATTTTAATAAGTAAAGTCAGCTTTATACATACATTCCACCAACATTTTTGTTTATAAATCTAAAATAATATTTGACCTAACATAGTAAATTTTATCATATAAAATTAAAATCCGAAGACGGGTATATTTCAGAATACTGAAGCAGATGAGAGACAAAGTCAAAAGATTATAATAAAGAATGTCTATTTCAATCAATCCCTTAACTTCATTTAAAACTCCATGTGGTTATTGATCTGTCCTTTGACATGTGTCCAACCTTTAAAATTTAATGTATCTTTATCCGTGACTGAAACCAATGAAAGTAACCCCACATAACTGAATTTCTTTGCAGTCATAATTCTACCTACAGCCTAATGTTACATTTAGAGGCTCCCAGCTCTGAAAGCACATTATGTACTAACATCGAGAAAATCCTTAGAGCTAATTTGATTATTATTGTACATGAAAGCATTCAACTGCTTGCTTCTTTCTGAGAATATCAGCTGACAAATCGTGGTGCTGGGGCCTATCTCTTTATGTGCTCTAATGAGACTGCAAATGGTTTCCCAATTTAAAGTGGCTTTGGCAGGCTTATCGATCTGTGAAATGTGGATGTTTTTAAAGGGAATAACTAACAAGAAAGACAGCGTTTATTGTAAAAGAGGTAGGTGTGTCACACTGAGTTATTTATCAAAGAGAAAAACATTTCTTTGATAGCAAAAGCAAGATGAACTCTGAGTTTTTATTGAATTACAAGAGTTTCACCAAGGCTCAATAATAGGCATCAATGATTAGAATGCCTACCAAAAAGCTTTTCTTTTAAAAAAAAAATCCCATTAGACAATTTTTGACAAAAAGTTTACATAAAATAAATGAAACTAATACATGCAATGTTTACTGTATGCAGGCAAATAAACCTTTCTGTTAGTTATTTACAGTCAGGTCATAGTAATCATAAATAGCAACAGTAATTTTATAGAAAATTGGGAAATGAGTATGAAATAGTTACTATGTATATGACACTCTTTACAAGATCTTCAATGTATATACATGCAGCATACTATTTCTATACTGTAAGACTATTAGTTTTAAACAGGCTAATTATATTGTGGATACCCAAGAAGCAAACAACTTGTTTTCTCTTCTTCTCTTCTCCTCTCTTCTCTCTCCGTCTCTCTCATTTCTAACTGTCTTTTTCTCTCCATTCTCCCCGCAAAATCTCATGGTACTAACACTTTTATAGAAAAGTGCTTCTCAAAACAAGTCACCCTAGATCCTTGTGGAAAAGTAGATTCTAATTCATTAGGGTTTAGGAATTTTACATTTCCAAAAACTTCCCTGGTGATGCCCACACTGCTTGTCCATCACCTACATTTTGAGAAGCAAGACTATAAAACTCAGTAGGGAAATGCTAATCCAGGTAACAAGTAATGAATGGGTGGCTAATCAGAGGGTGTTGACTATGAGCCTCAGAAAGAAGAAACGAAGATGAGTGATTTTTCGGAGCCATGAGTTTGAGCAATAAGGAGCCTCTGAAGGTTTTTAACATGGTTTCTATAGGTAAACTCTAATGTATTTTCAGAGGAAACTGACGTCACTAGATAATTACTAGACTGTACAAACAATAATGTAGAAAAGTGATGGAGATCTTGTCTTTGTGAAAACAGGCTAAATTGGATCAAAGTCACAAGCAGAAGTATTACATTTGAATGAAGAGAAAGTGCTAATCTGGAGCAAAACGAAAAAGAGGGAAAAAATTGAGCATGGGTCATTAATTTTTTCCGACTAACATGGGAGGCACATCATTTCCTTGAACACTGTCCCAAGTTTTAGACAGTAATTAAAGACAGGTTTTGGAGCCTTCTGAAGGGTACAGTAGGAGGAACTCTGAAAGTGGCAGAAAAGTATCTCTGGAGTACATTTGCTATTTCTTTACCAATCCTTAAATGCCTTGCTTTGATTTGTCTATAATGATTTTTCATGTCTTCAAAAAAGAAACAGGAAAGGAAGGAAAAAAACTTAGGAATGGAGGTGACGATAGCTCAGGGTTGCACAGAAACAAGGGCAGGCCTGTTTGCTGGCTTGGCACCCCCACCCCCAACTTTTGGCAGCAGACTCAGACTTCCCTTTGGTAAATGATTACTCTCCCATTCCCATGTCATCCTGCTGCGCTGTTTCTCAGGCCTCCAAGTTTCCAGGCCAATAAAACTTGACTTTCTAGGAATGTGAACCTTGAGCAGAGTTACAAAAGGACAGAGAATACTTAAATCATTGCAGTGGCGGCACTTGGAGGAGACTAGCCTTTAATTTATATCAGGGTGGTCCCTGCCCCATCTTTGTTTCTCACATGATGTAAATGATTAAATATCTGCTTGCACTGACTTCCTGCTTCAGTGTTATAAACCAGCTATTGATCTGATTATCTTCATTCAATACACACACACACACACACACACACACACACACACACACACCCACCCCTTTTGTTAAATGTATAATTATGCTGCATTTTTTACATTTTAATTGTCCATGTAACATGTCTTCATGGCTTTTACAATTTATATACTACCAATGAATTAATCAATTAATCTGTTACAAAGATAACTTAAATAAGTCTTCATGTTTCTAAATATACCCTGTCCTTTTGAGTATATTTAAATTCTGACTAAATATAAAGTTTATATGAAGACCCTCCAGTAAAAAGATGCTCTCCTTTCAAAGAAAGGAAACAATCATGAATATTTATACTTTTAAGAATCCAGGTACATTGTATATTTTCAGCATAACATGGGCAAATCAGCTCCAACCACTGAATAATCACATTCACATGTACATATGAATAGAGACTCCAAGTTATTGTTCTTTTTTAAATAACATTATTATATATATTCTGTGTGTATATGAATTTGTAAAATAGGAAGATGATTAATACCAGCTTCAAAGCATCATTGCTAATATTAAAGGAAGTAATCTTAGCATCTAAAACACAATAAGAAGTATGCATGTGTTTCCTGACTTTTCTTTTATCTACTGTTTTTGTGTTTTCTCCCTTTTCCCTGCTCTAATATACAGTTGACTCTTGAACAACACATGTTTAAACTTTGTGGGTCCACTTATATGCAATTTTCTTCTGCCTTTGCTACCCCAGACAGCAAAAACGACCACACACTTCCTCCTCCTCTTCAGCCTACTCATTGTGAAGACAACAGGATGATGACCCTTATGATGATCTACTTTCACTTAATGAACAGTAAATATACCTCCTCTTCTTTAATGATTTTCTTAATATTTTGTATTCTCTGGCTTGCTTTGTCATAAATGCAGTGTATAATACATGTAACAAACAAATTATTTGTTAGTTGACTGTTATAGATAAGGGTTCGGCCAACAGTTGAAGTTTCGAGCAGTCAAAAGTTATTTGTGAATTTCTTATTGTGCTAGAGGTGGGTCCCCCTAACCCATGCATTGCTTAAGGGGGTCAACTGTATATGAATATGTGCATACAAACACACAAGTACTAAGGCAGGTACACATCTGTGTGTGTGCCCATATGTAAAGAGGAATCTAGAAAACAATGGACATTCTGCATGTTGTCTTAGTCCTCAGAATACACAAAATATCAGTGTGCTTTAAAAATGTGCATATGTTGTGTACTGATGCTGAAATGGCTCCCAAAAGTAATTTTAAAGGTGATATCTAAGAGATTAAACAGAATACAGAGCAAGAGGAGCTGGAGAGTAAACGTGTTGAGGTGTTTGAGGTGGACTGATAACAATAAGCACACAACTAGGCACTGAGCTTCCTTCTTAACTAAAATAAAGAAAGAAAACTTTCAGTTGCCTTATTTTTCTTATCTGATAAAATGTATAAACAAATCTGTAGAGAGAAGGACAAACATTTCTGGAATTCTCTGTAAGGCACATTTGTCTGGGACCACATTTTATCAAGAACACAAAATCACTATTCAAAATCTAACATTTCTTGTATTATTACTCTATAAAAACTATTAACATTGATAAAGCTCATTTCAGTTTAGGTATGTATCTTTGGACGGTGAGAGGAGATTCCAAGTATTTTATTTTATGGAGACACAGCATGATATTTTCTGATTTTTTAACAATTTACGAGACTGTCTGTGTCAAGTAGTATAGGTCTGAAATAAGACTTTGATAGGAGAGAGCATGAATGTATTATTGAATTCTCAAAGTGTACAGATCATACTTCTTGTTATGGTAAGGACCATTATTTAAATGCTAGATGTGAGGAAGACAGAGTTATATTTTTTCATAAAAATATTTGAGATGATTTACTTATTCTTGTTGAAAACAAGGGCCAACTAACTTCAGTAGGGCATGGACAGCAAGAAGGAGTATAAATAGAACTGATTTTGTCATTAAAAATTACCAGTTTTCAAGTACTTGCAAAAAAATACTTATTAAAACATAACAGTGCTCTATGTGATGAAAAAGGATCTTAATCTGAGATTATATGGAGTCTAGTCTTATGAACTGATAGCTTTATCCACAAAAGTATTTGATATGTGATTTTAGATAGACCTATGTCATTTTGGGATCCAGCTGAACGAACTGAATAGAAAGGAGATTTTTTTTTTTCAAATATTAATTTACACTAAGATTTTTATCCTGAGGTCCACGGACTTACAGCATACTTAAATGGATTTCAGACAAAGTGAGTGTTCATTCCAAAACTTGTATGCATAATTTGTAAACCTATAACATTATTTGTGGAGATGTGGAGATGGTTTATAGTTTAATAATATTCTTGAAATGCCACTCAAACAATTAATGAGGGTGATTTAAAAACTGATGAACGACACTGAATGTAAAAACCAATTTTTTACTCATTCTGAGAAACCTGGTAGCAGAAGGAGTCCCTTTCTTATCATACAATAAGATTACATAACATTTTTCAATGGTACTGGATTTCAGGTTTCAAAATAGTGGAAAGACGCTGAAAGATTGTACTAAATGTTTAGATACAGATGAATGAAAGGGATGCTTAGAAGCAAAATACACATAATAAGGTATAATTTCAAAATGGATTAAATCATTATTTTCAACCCAACCTTTAGTAACAGTTAATTTTAGAATTCAGTAAGTAATTCTCTATTTGGAGTTGCATTCATTATTGCTTACTGGTTCATAAACCTACCTTTGCAACTGAATGAAAGACTTGTCAATTTAAGTAAATTAAGTAATGTGAGTTGGCAGATTTGTTGTTTGTCCACTCAATCACTATTTTGTTCAACCACTGTTTTGTTCAATTCCTTGTTAGCAGACCCCAGATTAAAAAAAAAAAATTCTTTAGATTAGGCAAAACAATTTGTTTAATTAAGGTGACCTCTTTTCCTCATTCCAGATCCTGAAACAGGTATGTCCTAAATGGTAATCTGACTGTTGCCAATGACTAATTTACCACTGTGCCTGACAAGAAGGCTTCATCCTTGTTCAAAAGAAAAAAAAGGGCTGAGAGCGGCATGCATTATGATTTGCTTCTCTTTTAGACTGATAAAAAACATGATATATTCAGTAACAGGATACAACTTAATTTAATAACAATAACATTTCCATTCCTGTTCATTTAAATTATTACATTATATTTATATTATGAATATTAATCACTTAACCTGGCTTTAAAGTTCTTTATGTTCCTATGCTTTTATACGTGGATGACTGAGGTCACAGTCTCCTTATTTGTGGCTTAGTAGTGGGATATATTCTACTAGTGCTGAAGTAATGACAGCTTCAGGCTGTGATTTTGCACCTGGTATCTTTTCCATTTCCCACTCTTCCTCCAGTTTGAAGTGCTCCAGTTTTACTCTCTTCTTTCCATTCCCTGAATTCTCCAAACCTGCTTCCATTTCAGGTGCTTGGCCATATCCATTCTGTCTGTCTGTGATTCTTTCCCCAGATATTTACGTGGCTCAACTCCTTATGTAATTTAGTCCTCAATTCAAAGTCATTGTTTTTTTTTTTTTCAAAAGTCTTCTCTTTATCCCTTTACCTAAAACACCTTATGCATTTCACTTGCAATCTTCCTATCATCAATTATTTTATTTTTATAGCACTCAATTTGTCTCAAAGTCTGACCTAACAGTATACACATTTTTTTTTTTCATTTGCTCATTGTCTGTTTTGATCCCTAGAATAGAATCTCTCTGAGTACTGGGATGTGGTCTATTTTATACATACATAGAATAATTAAACGACCACACTGTAATTGCTCATTGAATATTAGTTGAATGACTGACTGACTTACTGATAATAGTGTTTGTTTTCTTTATTTTTATATTCGATATGGAAGTGTTTTTAAAAAGCCATGCTTGCATTCCTTGACTTGACATATATTTAAACTTGTCTGTTGTGTTATAATATTGCTCTTATATACCAGTATTATATATATTATTAAAGTTTATTAAATCCCAGTTTTATAATGAAAAAATCAGGTTCATATACATCAATTAATTATTTTCCTGAATGCTAGTACTATGCATAATATGCTATATGAGAAAAACCTCCATAATTAAGTCATATTGACATAATAAATCAAATGAAGTATACAGTAGATAGAATGATTACTTCTATATGCTTATTGTATAGACACATTTTATGTTCATGGACCAATAGATAAGCTTAAAAAGACAATTCTGAGAAGAAACTGTCCTCATTATTTTTATTGTTATAGAATAATGAATATGTTTTAAACTTGGGTTTTTAGATGTTTTGATAATCCAGAGACATTTTGTGGTCAGACATTTGTTATAAAGAACTTTGATTTGTAATGACTAGTTTGAAGGGGAAAAAGCACATTCATATATATATTACTCATGTGTTTCCACAGTAACTACTCACAAGAGCCGATCATTAAATTTTCAAGAGTTTTGTGAAGCCCTTGTCAAACACAGCTATCACTAAAATTAAATTACCTTACACTCCTTATATTAAAAATAATAGGGAATGAAGATTACAAATCTATTACATCTGAATTGTTTACTACATTTCACTGCTAAGTCACTTAACTCCTCTCCTGGCCCCTACAACTCCTTATTTTCTTTTATGGTTTCATCTGTATTCTCTAGCAGTGGATCACTCTTAACCCACTACCCTACAAGGCTATTTATTTCTCAATCTCCTGACAAGTGTATCCATCACAGGCCAATTTATTAACACAGCGGAGCTTTTCTGCAAACTTATAAATGAATTAAATTGAATCATCAATGGCACTGTAACAATTATATTTCATTCTATTAACTAATAAATTCATTAGTGTTGTTTTTCATATCCCAAGGCTTTATATATCTTACATACAGAATTACACTTTGCTGCTATAATTCTACATGCTAGCGACAAAAATGTTCTACAGCTGGAAGAACTGAGAGCTGCATAGACAAACCAGCTAGCTTTTGATCATAAAATTAGTAAAAGATAGATCCAGGAATACAAATTTATTTTGCTATCATTTAACCCCAATAGCATGTAATAGAATTGCCAGTATTGAAATTACCTAATGAAATAGGAATTTGTGATATTTGTGAAGAGAACAGAAGGCAGTAACAGCTGATGACAAAGAATTTTGAAATCTAGAGTAACTAAACATTGTTCTTTCAGAATTATTTTTGAAAATGACAAGTTCATAATCACATTTGTCTTCGGAATAAAATTCTTAAAATAATTTGTTCATGAACTTTCTTGAGAAATAAATCACATAATTTCTCTCCTGTAATACACACATCACTATTATTTATTACTTTTTCTGGAAATTTCATCCCAGTGACTCCTCATGGAGAGTGATTTCTCCTCTCCCTGCCCAGGTCATTTGGCCCTTCTGGAGACAATTCTGATCATGACTGTGTGTGTGAGGAAGTTGCTACTAACAGGGACATCTCACTGGTAGAGGCCAGAGATCTGCCAACTAGCAATGTACAGAACACAACATCACTATCAAAAGATGTGCTATCAAAAAAGTCAATAATGTTAAGACTGAGGAAAAAAAACCTGAATTAAATCTGCTTTTTATTTGGTTGGTATACACCATGAGTATATCAGAAGGTAATATTAGAACGATAAATCTTAGAATCAGAATAATTTATTTTTTCAGATGATCATCGTACCAAAATCATATAATTATCACCTGAAAAAATATAGTAAGAAAACAAGCATTGAGGTATATATATGTAACAGAATGAGTTGCATAAGCTCTGTAAAGTACATGTACATGTGTTTCTAACAGCATATTCATAACATAAAAGTGGGAATAACTTAAATATTCACAACAGAAGAATGGAAAAATAAATTGCAGTGTAATTTACATAATGGAAAATATACAACAAAAATGTAATCAACTATAAGCAATGACAGAGCTAATTCTTCTGACATAATGCTGAAAAGACATAATAATGTATATATTATATAATTGTGTTAATAGAAAATGTAAAAGCAGGCAAAATACATCTATAGAATTAGAAGGCAGGGGTGTGCTTGTCTTTGGAGAAGTGGTAATAACCAGAAAGAAGCAGGCACATTGTCATGTTCTGGCTCTTGAACGTGGTTCTGGTTACATGCGTGTGTTTCACTTGTAAAAATGTATTGATCTGTACACTTATAATTTGCCCACTTTCTTCATTTTATGTTATCAATTAAACATGTACTTACAATATTAAAAATGGATCTGGTTACAAGCAAACATGCACAATTAGATCTTTTGTAAATATCCGTTAGTTTTAGTAATGCTAGTAATTGTTCTACTATACATTCACACACAGGTACACTCATAAGTACAAGACCGCACATACCAGAAGCAACTAAATTGGAACACATTTCACTAACAGACATTAGTACAAATGTTCTATTAATAGAAATTCAACTTTTTTAAATGAAGATAAATGAAAAAGGTAATATCAAACATCAGTATTACAGATATTTGTTTAGTTATTGCACTTGTTATTACTTAGAATTAGTAAAATTATTATTCTTTTATCACTTATAAATATCATCTTTTTCCTGAAGTTTTATACATCTATAATCTAAAAGAAAAATTTTGAATTTCAAGGGGCAATTTTTTTACTAGTATTACTGAAATGCTGCCTACTTATTTTCAGATGTATCAAAATGAATATATATATATATATATATATATATAATATATTATTTTGATATGAAAAGATAAACTCTTTTAATATATGGGTATTCTGGAGCTCTCTTTCATTTTGATTTGTTGAGAATATATATACTGTTTATTACTATTTCTTGCTAAGTTTTCCATAATTTTTCCCAGTTGATTTTGTAGTTTTATTCCATATACGTTCTAAAGCATTTGTGCTTTTGATTTTTCATAATCTGCTTAACACTTCCAGTAGAATTTAACCTCGACTTCTGACACAGACTTTTAAGGAAAAAAGAAATGATAGACCAAGGCTTGCAGAGTAAATGAATGGACCCTTCATTTCCTTAAGTACTTCTACCCAAGCCAAATTTCCATTTGTTTTTACACTGTCTTCTTAATATATTTATCAGCATCTTGATCATGGCACTATTTTATTCAAACTGAACCCCCTCATCCAACACATATACACACACCATATAAAATGAAAACTACAATGTGACATTTAATCCTACTTTTTAATTTAACACAATTCAATAAAAGCATCCTCTTCCCCACTTACAAACTACACACATACACACAAATATCAGGCCCTTATGTTTCCAAATGTCTTGTGCCAGAAAGGAATCTGTCATTATATGAGTGGGGAAACAAAGAAGTTTTCAAACGGAATGTGGCTTGTCCCAAATATCCTAGCCATTGAAAAATAGAAACTGGGAAGTCACTTGAGTCTTCTGAAAGTACAGTTCTTAGCTCATTTCTCAGTATTATTTACCACTGTATCTGTACTACTTAGTAAGATTCCTCTAACATTTGAATCAAGCTCTTCAATCTATTTTTAAATTATACGTTACATTGTATAATCCAACAAATCATTAAACTCACATTTATTACCTGATATCATTTTAAAACACTTCAAAATGAAATGGTCTACTTACAACAATTAGAAAATGAGTCAAATTCTAAGAACCTATTTTAAGAAGTGTTGTATTTTTTAAAAGATTAATTAGCATAAAGAGTTTGTTTTACTTAAGAGAAGAGTTTAAAAGGGAAAAATAAAAAAAAAGACATCAGTATTTATTGTATACAATATCAAGGACATTTACCAGGAAAGTGAAATTCTAATTTTTGAGATGATTCACCTTCCTATTTTACTAAGCATCTTTATAATGTTTCAGTTTGTTATGTTTAAACCTAAAAAGTGTAAGGTCTGTTTAGGTACTGAGAGCCTAGCAACAAGAAGATTGTTTTAAGCCATTTGTTACTTTGCTTGTAAAACAAACTTCTTTATATAGAAATGGACAAACAAGACTGTTCTGTTAAGGATCTTTTCATTTATGTTTCTGGCATTCCACTTGTTTCTGGTTGAATTACTGTTAACATGTAAACTTGTACTTTAAAAGATTTATTCTCCAATCCTTAATTTTCTGAAACATATATAGAATTTATGTATATCTTTAACTGGAGCATTTATGTTAAAATAAAGAGATTATAATGACATAAAAGAGTCAATCTGATTGTACAATAAAATAAATTGAATGATACGGATAGGAGAAAAACATCCTTCCTCATATAGCTTTATGAAGAGCTTTAATAACAAACAAACATGAAAGTTTTTGTGTGTCTGTGTATATGTATCTTAATTATATCATACATATGTTAACATGTATGTTCAAGTCAAAGTCGGGGAAAGAGTTGCATTAGATGAGTGGCATATACTCAGTTCCCCAGAACCTTTTTGGTCCAAGCATGTTCTTGTTTCCTACAGCAACATGTTCAACAATTCCAGCAAACACGTTATCACTCATGTAATACTTTCACTGCAGAATTTCTCCCCTTACTTATTCTTATTCTTTCCAATTCATTGACTTCCATACCAAACCAAAATATTGTGATGATTGAAAGAGAAAAATAAAACTATCCTTTCCTCCTACTCAATTCAAAGAATAAGTAATGAAACCAGACATTTGCTCAACCAACACACCTAAAGCCATACTTTAAATGGTCGCTCAGGGGGAATGGTTACATTTTCACAAATTCCAAGTTAATATTTTGGCAATTTTATTTTCCTTAACTGAAGGGCACTGTATCAACAACAAAGGCAACTAATTTTTATTGCATGTTGAGAATTAAATTCAGGAGCAAGACTGTATCAGAGCATCTGAAACAGAATACCAAATCTTATCAGATTTCTTTACCTAATCTATACTAAGGGATAATTTATTTTAAGTTTATTTATCATAAACATTTTTAACAATTCCTATCCTTTGTCTTTGCACTGGATTTTTTCTCGTAAAATTTGTAAGATTTAGAAGTATGGCATCTAAATCGTGTTTTGTCAGATACAACTAAGCCTCTGCATAAACTATACTATTGGCTTCATTAGAATGTGAAGGAAATTTCTGAAGCTTAAAATAACAAATACAGAGTTTATATTTTAGCAGCGACACAAGGCAAAGAAAATATAAAGCATAAAATGGTCTGCCTTAAGATATAATGAATCAGAGATCTGTATACTAAAAAATAGATCTTCCAGAAATGTGAAGAAGTTGAAGCTAAATCTTTCACATTAATCTAAAGATCATGAAAAAGATTAAACTTGTCAGTAGCACCTCTGATCATCATCAGAAAAAGACTAAAAATCTGTCAGGAAGCAGATATTTCCTATCTACTACCAATTTAAGATTATGGTATTCTCTATTACATTTAGTAAAATGTGAACTACAATAAAATTTCCTATTAAGAATGAGAATCAATAAAAACATTAACAATCTATTAAGTTAATATCAGACTTCTCAACAGCAATAATGGAATCTAGAAGATAGGGGAGTAATGTCTTCAATAAAGAAAGAACAAACTCTTATGGAGAGAGAGAAAGAAATAGGAAGAAATATGCCAAATGATTTACACTTAAAAAAATCCAAAAAACGACAAACAATTAACTGATATACTCCAAAGCATAGCAAAGTTCACCCAAACGAGAGATTTAAGATATAAAAAGGAATAATGAAGAAACAAAACACAAACTGAGAAAGAACATTTGCAACTAATATAGCAACACAGAATTTATAATCAGTATCCAAAGGAAAATTTTCTAAGCCAAACATTTTTTTAAAAACATGGAAAAAAAAAAGCTACTTTCCAAAAGAAATAATAAAAATCAAATCTGTGAAAAAATATTCAATCTCATTTATAATAGGAAAATGCCAATTAAGTAAGCAATAAGATACTAGTTTACACTCCTTGCTTAAGCAAGTATCAATACCACATGTTGGTGATGACTTGTAGTAAAAGGCTGTGTTATAGCATGTGATTGTGTTAAGTTGGTACAAGTGTTTCGGAAAACCACTTGTAATTGCATTTTTACTAAGTTTTGTGTTAGAGATGCTTTAACAGAAAAATTACAAACATCATACGGAAAATTGCAAACACAATACAGAAAAATTATACTAAAAGAATAAAAAGGAAAAAGGGAAGAAATATTAACACATGCTCAGAGAAATGTGGTATCTCACAAAGCAAATCAATATATGCATAACAGAAGTAATCAGTGTGGAGGAGATTTAGAAGTAGTAAAATATTCAAAGTAATAATATCTGAACACTTACTAAATTTGATGAAAATCATTAATCTACATATTTAAGAGGTACAACACACTCCAAATAGCATAAATGCAAAGAGATCCACACAGGCACATCATAGTAAAAATACTGGAAAGACAAAAACAAAGAGAAAATGCCAAGTGCTAGGATTATAGGAGAATCTTGAAAGCAATTAGAAACGTGACTCACCTCTTACAAGCAAGCCCCAATAAAATGCAGCTAATACAATGTCTAAAGTGATATTTATAGCTGTAAACTCCTATATTAAAAAGAAGTAATAGCTCAAATGAATAATCTGACTTTTCAGTTTAGTCACCAGAAAAAAGAAGAGAAAAATCAAAGCTTAACCAATGAGAAGGAAGGAAACTATAAAGGTTGGAGCAGAAACTGAAACGGAGAAGAGAAAAGCTTTAGAGAAAAATCAATGAATCCATAAGCCTATTTATTTATAACGATCAGATATTGACAAAATTTTAATTTGAGCGATCAAGAAAAAAGACACAAATTACTAAAATGAAGAAATGGAAATCCAAATAGACCCATAATAAGACCAGAGGTTAAACTAATATAAAAATTTACTTACCAAGAAATATCCAGGCATACATAGTTTCACTGCTGGGTTCTACCAAATTTTAAAGATTTAATATCAATTCTTTCAAAAACATAGAAGAGAAATAAACACTCTCTAACTCATTCAATTAAGTCAGGTTTACACTGATAACAAAACCATACAACTATATCACAAGAAAAAAATACTACTATAGCCCAATGTATTTTTTTGAGTATCAATCCAAATATCCTCAATTAGACACTAGCAAATCAAACCTGGTAAAAGAGATGATTATACATCATGTTCAAGTGGGATTTGTTCCGTGTATGTAAGCTTGGTTTATATCCAAGCATCATTTAATGTATCATAATAGAATAAAAAACAGAAACCACATGATCATGTCAACAGACACAGTAAAAGCATTTGACAAAATTCCAGTAACCATGAAAGCATGATTAAAATCACTAAAACTAGGAACAGAAGGTAACTTCCTCAACCTGATAAAGGACATCTATAAAAATTCTGCAGCTACCATCCCACGTAATGATGAAAGACTAAATCTTTCCTTCCTAAGATGGGAACAAGACAAGGATGTCCACTTTTGCCACTTGTACTCTACACAAAATCCTTCACAGAAAGGTTTCTGGCAGCTTTGTTCATAATTGCCAAAACTTAGCAGCAGCCAAGTTGTCCTTTAATAGGTGAATGGATAAACACCCTGGCAATAGCAATGGACAAAGCCACAAAGAGACATGGAAGAACCTTAAGTGTAAATTAAGTGAAAGATGCTAATTTTTAAAGACTACATACTGCATTATTCAAATTATATAAGATTCTGGAAAAGGCTATGAAGACAGTAAAAACATCATTGGGCTGCAGAGGTTTGGGGATGAAGTTGAGGAAAGAGACAAGAACAGGTGGAGCACAAGGAATTTTTAGAGCAGTAAAATTATTCTATATAATACAATAATGGTGAATACGTGTCATATATTTGTCCAAGCCAACGGAACGTACAATATATAGCAAAGGCCAATGTAAACTATGTGCTTCAGTTAATAATAATGTATCAGTATTAGCTCATCAATTATAAAAAATTTTCCCACACTAACACAAGATGTTAATAATAGAGAAAACTGAGGAGAGGGGGCATTTGAGGGGGTATACAGGACTCTTATTTTCTCTCCAATGTTTCTATAAACATAAAACTGCTCAAATAATAAAGTCTACTAAAAAATAAAAACAAGTAAAAAAAATCTATTCTCTGAAAACCATAAAATATTGTTGAGACAAACTAAAGATGATCTAAATAAAAGGAAAGATATGTTATAGGTTATAGTGCCCCCCCACCCCACTGATATCCTGACGCCTTAACTCTCAGTACTTCAATATATGAACTTATTTGGAAGTAGGGTTTTTGAGGATACTATTGGTGTAGATAAGGTCATACTATTGTTTGCAGTTAATCCAATATGACTTTCTTCTTAAAAAAAAGGACAATTTGGACATGTACATATACACAGAGGAATGCGATGTGAAGAATGGAGTTATGTTGGCACAATTTAAGGAACTACCAGGAGAGAGAACTGCGACAGATTCTTCCTGAGGACCTTCAGAGGAGTACGCCCCTGATGATACCTCAATCTTAGACGTCTAGCCTCCAAAATTATAAGACTACAAGTCTCTATTGCCCAAGCCACCCAATTTATGGTACGTTGATATGACAGCTCTAGAAAACTGATATAACACCCCATGTATGTAGATCAGATGACTTAATATTGCTAAGATAGTAATACTTCTCAAATTGATCTACAGAATCACTGACCTCTAAGAAGTCAGAAGTTTGGTTGAATTATCTGAAGAAATGATTATAGTGATTCTAAAATTCATATAGACATTCAAGGAAGCTGGCAAGCTGAAACAACCCTCAAAAAAAAAATCCAGGTTGAGCAACATGGCAAAACCCCAGCTCTTCTAAAAATACAAATATTAGACAGGCATGGTGGTGCATGTCTGTAATGTCAGCTACTTAGGAGGCTGAAACACAAAAATTGCTTGAACCTGGGAGGAGGAAGTTGCAGCAGTGAGCTGAGATCATGCCACTGCACTCCAGCCTCAGTGACAAAGTGAGACTCTGTTTCAAAAAAATAAATAGAAAGTTTGAAGACTTATATTTCCTGGTTTCAAAACATACCACGAAGTAAAAGTAATTAAGAACGTGGTTCTGGCATAGCATATTATATGTATCAGCAGAATAGAATTGGAAATCTAGAAATAAACCATCCCATTTATAATTTGCTTCAACAACAGTGACAAAACAATGAAATGGGGGAAATATGGTCATTTCAACAAATGGTGCTATTGAACATGCAAAAGTATAGAATTAGACCCCTACCTACCTCACAACCAATATAAAAATTTTCTAAAAATATACCATAGGCCTAAAGGTAATATAAAAGCTAAAAACTATTAGAGAAAACATCAGGGTAAAATTTCTGACCTTGGATTTGTCAATAGCTTCTTAGATACTTTACTAAAACATAAGCAACCAAAGACAATATTTAATTGAACTGGACTTCAAAATTTTAAAGTTCTGTGCTTCAAAGAACATAAAAAAAAATAGATACAAACCACTGAACAGATAAAATGTCAATCATTTATCTGATAAAGAAATTCTATCAAGATTATGTAAAGAACATTTACAACTCAATAATAAAAGACTGATCACTGATCATTTTTAAGTGGTAGAAAGATCTTAACAGACATACAAACAGCTAATAGGCACATAAAATTGCTCAAAATATCTGGTCATCAGGAAAACACAAATCAAATCCACATTGAGATATTGCTTCCCACACCCTAGAATGACTGTAATTAAGACAGGTAATAACAGGCTTTGCCATAAATGTAGAAATTAGAAAACTCATACACTGCTGGTGGGAACATGTAATAGTGCAGCCACACTGGGAAACATTTTGGCAGATCCTCAGAGTTAAACCTTGAGTTACCAGTTCACCTAGAAAACCTGCTCTTAGGTATAGACTCCAGAAAAAT